ATCTGTTTGCATATGGAACAATGATGAAAAGCAAAGGAAATGATACGTTTCAAGAACCCTTGCGGATCGAATCGAAGGAAGGCTTAAGAATTCTTATATACGTTACTCTACTATGGGATGGCGATGTTTAAGAATCTGGGAGATTGAAAATAAGTTCACCCATCCTTGGTACTTCTGTGTGCCGGGCACCGGTCAAAGACTGTAAAGTGATAACTCATGGAATCCTTACAAGGATACTTTGAAATAAGAACTATTATGTCCATTTGAGAGGTACGGAAATGCAAGTGGGGAGAGAGAGAGAGAGAGAGAGAGAGCGTGAGAACTTGCCCCCAATCATGCAGTAGGTGAGCAGTGGATCTAGGGTCTGAAGTTGGACAATTTGGCTCCAGAGTCTCTGCCAGCAACCTTTCTCATAAGCATGGGCTAGTACATATTTTCTGCTCCGCGGGCCATGCGGTCTGTCACAGCTACTCTGCCTTGAGGCTGAAGGGCGAAGGCAACCGCCACCCACAATGTGGAAGCGAACAAGCGTGGCCGTGTTCCAATCAGACTTTATTTATGGGCACCGAACTGAGAATTTCATATCATTTTCACATGTCACAAAATATCTTCTTCCTTTATTTTTTTTATTCAACTATTTAAAAACATGAAAACCCATTCTTGGCTCACAGGCTGTTTGCCGGCCCCTGGTCTTTGCAATTAACCTTGACGCTCCATGGATTCGTGAAGCTGCGCATCATTTCCTGAGCCTGACTGTCCCGGGAGCTCTGTTGAGAGCTTCCTGTGCCCCACTCCTCGTTCCCTGAAGACCTGCTGCCTTCACCGATGAGGAAGGCGCTCCATCCAAACTTGGTGGAAGGAGAAGCCCAGTGTTCCTGGGACAAGGCAGGACGGGGTCATGAGGCCGATCAGGACCAGTGCTGAGATCTGCTGATGGACGGGCGGGAAGGATTTGGGTTGGCATGCAAGGCACTCACAGGAGCTTAGCAAAATGGGGAAACGAAGGAGTGAGAAAACAGGGAGGGTATATGGTGCAGAAAGAAGGATGAGAGGCAAGGACGCGGGGCTCATTGTCCCTGTAATTTCCCAACTAGAGAACTCACAGCCAGGCAGCCTTCCAAGCAGCGAGCACTCAGAGCTCAGAGAACACACACACCACAGCCCTTCCTGATCCGGACCTGCCATCGGTCTGGTCGGATGGAGCTTCTCCTTCCACAGGTACAAACGGATGGATGGGGAGCCGGGCTGCTCAACGGGGCGGGCGGAGAGCGTGGAGGCACGCTGGCTTGGTGACTGTCCCTGGCTGGCTGGCTCCCACGACATCTGCTTCTGCCCTGGGTCAGATGGAACCAGAGGGACTGGAGTCTTCTCCTGGTGCCCCGCTTGCTGCCGCTGAGTGTTCTCGCAGCCCCGGAGAGCTCCCTTTGGGGTCCTCTTGGTTCCAGGTCCTGGGTCCCCTCTGTGCTGGTTTCAAAGTGCCACGCGCTGGGGGGTTGGGGGGGCTTCCCACCACAGAAGTGTACTGTCACAGCTCTGGAGGCAGGAGGTGCAAGCCAAGGTGTCCTCAGGGCTGTGCTCTCTGCCAGGGCTCCAGGGAAAAAATCTTTCTTCGCCTCCTCCAGGGTCTGGTGGCCGCCAGCGATCCTTGGCTCGTGGGGGCACCGCCCCAGTCTGCCTGCACCTTCTGATTGAAAAGGTCAGTGGTGATGGTCTCACTCATATCAGCCACCTCCCATCCTCACGGGGGCCTTAAGAAGATGAACGCCTCGGAAATCTTCTCTATTCTAGTCTTGCATTATTATTGCTCTTCTAATGACTCCCCAGGTCTGTTTTTGAGACGGCTGCTATAATTACTGTTCCTTGTGTGGATACGTTAGAGAGATGTCACGAATGATTGAGTGGTGCATTAATCCCCTGGACCGTGTGAGAGCGCTTTCCAGTTCCAGGACTATCCCTGGGGGCCGGGGTCTACAATCATCATTCCCATGTCACTCATGGAGAAAAGGAGACCCAGAGAATTCAGCCTTGCCCAAGTTCCTCCAGTGAGCCAGAGCTAGAAAAATCTTGAGCCCAGAACCCCAGTTGTGACAACTTTCCTCTCACAATGATTTTTACAATGGGGGCTCACGCGTGGCTCACACGCCCCCCATTTTTCAGGGAGCCGCTCATAAATGACCATTTGGTGAGTTTGGCTTGGCAGAGCCGTCCACACAGGGAGGAACCTCCCCAGCTCCGCACCCCGGGAGTGAAAAGAGAACAGGGTGGGTGGAGGTGGGGCCCCTCAGCCCCCCCTCCCTGGAAGCCCAGGGAAAGCAGGGGTCAGCCAAGGTGGAAGAGCTGGGCCTTCTGCTGGGAGGCTGCCTCTGGAACAGCCCTGCTGACTCTCCAGGCTCCACTCTCTGCCTTTCCTACCTCATGAGTGTTTCCTGAGGGCCATGGGAGAGGAGGCCTCTTCCCCGAGCGGCTGTCCCCCTGTCTCCTCCTGTTGAATGCATGACATGACTTTGCAGTTTATAGGCTGGGAAATGTCAACTTTTTAAGAGAGCTTGAAGGGGGAAAAAAAATCCATGCTTGAGCATGGGAGGTGCTAAAAATAGGGACTTCTCAGTTTCCAGAAGAGCAGATAAATGAACAAACAGGCCATAATCAAATGTGGTTATTTCTTCTGGGAGGTTTCTTTCTTTCAATGGTCCCCTGGAGCTACAAAATACACAAATACAGATTGATAGATTTTTCTCGTTAATTCAGAAGCCATTTCTTGGACCCCCATCTATGTGTAAGGGGATGGGCAGAGTAGCCAGATTTCTGAGAGATTGGAGGTCCCTCAGGAGATGTTAGAAGGGGACTAGAGAGCAGGGTCATTCTTTGTTTGTTTGTTTTTAAGATTATTTATTTATTTGAGAGAGTGAGAGCTAGAGAGAGAGCACAAACTGGGGGGAGGGGGAGAGGGACAGGGAGAAGCAGATTCCCCACTGAGCAGGGACCCCGACGACGTGGTGCTCAATCCCAGGACCCTGAGATCACGACCTGAACCCAAGGCAGATGCTTAACCGACTGAGCCACCCAGGCACCTTGAGAGAGATCAGGGCCGTTCTGAGAACCCCATCTTCTGTTCCAGAAATTTCCTAAGGTCCCTGGCAGTCATAGCCACCAGGGTCCTATTTGGGTTGCTGAATTAATGCAGACTTTGGAATGGGGACTGTGTGTATTAAGGTGGGGACAGGGCTATGGGATCTGATACGAGACGGGGTGGTGCAGGCCAGGCATAAGACCGTCTCCGTCCCATCCTCCAGGCGCACGGGTAAATGCAAGCCTTGTGCTGAGTGCGTCCTTCAGCCCCTGCTCCAAGCGTAGTCCAAGGTTAGCAGAGTCAGGCATCCCCCTGGGAGCTTTCGGACCTCCTGAATCCATCTGCCTTTTCACCAGCTCCCTGGGGGACGGGGTCCTGTGAGCATTAAAGCCTGGGGGTGGGGGACTTGCTGTGGACTCCACAGGCCTGGTGTTCCCTTCTGACCTCACAGTCCCTCCCCTTTTGGAAAAGCTGGAAAGCAGGCTCCCCAGTAGTCAGCTCTTTCAAGAGGATCTGCTTCTTCTCGTGCCCAATTTGACCGGGGCTTGGGCGTGGGGACGGGCATCTTCTTTGCTTCCAGACCCTCCACTGATTTCTTCAAACCCCACAGCTCCCATTGCAGTATCAGGCCTGGATCTGGTCAGACTGTGAGCACTCCCAGGCTTTGCCTGCTCCCACGGGGTGTCCTGGACGCTGCCCAGGGACACATGGCTCCTGGGGCAGAGACAGAGGGGGCTTCGTTACTCACAGCAGATCAAGCAGCCCAAGCTTTGTTTTTTAAAATATAATGTCTTAGTAGAAAACTGGAGGTATAAGTAAGGCTGACAGATCGGAAAGATAGGTTGCTATCCACGTTTCCCAAGAGGTGTGGGCCTGGTCCCATAGGGGCCACATGGGGAAGCACCAGGGTGGGTCTCCGGCAAGAGACAAGAGCCTTTGTTGTGGTTTCCATGGGGAGGAGGAAGGCAGGCATGGTAGGCAGGCTTAGAACTGGCTAGTTTGGGTAACTTCCATGGGCTCTGGGCAGAAGGGCTGCCCCTAGGAGTCTGGTACCTGGCCCTGGGCTGATTCTGACAGGGGGATGGTGGCCTGGAACGACAGTCCCATAAAAGAGGGGGTCGGGGTCAAGGCTCTGGATTGTTTATCTTTCAAAAGCATGCTCATAGAAGAGTCATTTACTACATTTGGGGATTGGCTATCCCTGGGACAGGCGGTCACCCCAGGCTCAGCAAGGTGCCAGACGCCAAAGCATCAGAACCCTAAAAAGGCAAGACGTGGCTAATACAAGCTTAGTGTTTGCGCTGGCTCCCCTCGTCCCCAAGTCCCACAGGGAGACTCGGAGGCCTCGGGTGGTCGCTGCCAGGCAATGGGCTTATAGCACAGCTGACGAGCTCCGAGCTCGGGGAACACGCGTGCTTTATAACGCGCAGTTAGCAAGTGCACCCAGCCACTACCCCCGGGGGTGGCAGTACCTTCATTTTATTTTATTTTTAAAAAGATTTTACTTATTTATTTGATAGAGAGATAGAGAGAACAGGTAGGCAGAGAGGCAGGCAGAGGGAGAGGGAGAGGCAGGCTCCCCGCCGAGCAGGGAGCCCGATGCGGGGCTCGATCCCGGGGACCCTGGGATCAGGACCTGAGCCCAAGGCAGACGCTTAACTGACTGAGCCACCCAGGCACCCCATTCATTTTACTAGACAATAACCAACCCACCCTCTCCTCTGCCAGGAAACACTTCCTCCAGCTCCTCCAAGGAGGTCTGCTCTACAAACATCCTTGAAAGATTGGGACAAAATGGCAGTTAGTCCCTCTACTCATAGGATGTCAGAAATGTGAGACCACGGAGAACGAGGCAGGCCACCCCATTGCTGGCTCTGCCCCCACCTTCCCAGCTCATGCTCCCACCCTCATTCAGTTCATTTCTTGCCAGGAAACACCCACTGAGCACCTCCTGTATGCTACACACTTTCTCAGTGGTGGAAACACCATCTTAAAGGAGACAGACAAGGGTTCTGCTCCCCACGAAGGAAGACAAGAAAGGAAGCGGTTCCGCATGAGACTCAAGAGCATTTCGGAGCTGGCATGTCCCGAGAAGGGGATCCAACAGGTGATGTGACAGAGAGGGTGATGGGGATGCTCGAGTTCTCCAGAAACCCAGTGATTCTCAGATTCCCCGGGCCCAGCAGTGTCAGCATTGCCTAGAAATACATTCAAAATGCAAATTCCCAGGCCCACCTCAGACCTACAGGATCAGGTCTGGGTTTAAACCCCCTCCGGAAGATTCTGATTCACTCTCGAATCATGAGCTACTGAGTATAAGCCATTCTTACATGGCGGGGGGCCTAGTGATGTTTTAAAGGCTTCATTCACCTGGCTCCTGGGAGCTCTGGCCCACCTTCCGTCCTCCTGCCGTCACTGATCCCCTGGGACACCCCCTCTGCACCCCTCCAGCAGGAGGGCCTCTCCAGTGCTCCCCATGGGCCTCAGCTCCCACATGTCTCCTGGAGAAGTCTTCCCCAGTGCCCCCTGTCTAATGGGTCTCCTTCAAACACTGTCCGAGTCCCATCTGTCCCCTGCGTGTCACCTGCCATTCTCCCTCATCCCAGCCCCCCCGCCTCGTTCATGCCTCTTGCACACCTTATTGGCCATCTCCCCCAGGGTGAGCTGGTGAGGGGTCTGCCTGCCTGGTGCATAGTGGTCTCCCACGTCAGGCATGGTGGTCGGTCCCCAAAGTTGGCAAAGAAACAAACGGATGATGTTTCATCCTTCCCGTGATGCCCACAGCCGTCTGCTCACTGTTGGGGGCTCAGCTGCCCTGAGGCCCCGGATGAGGGGCGTGCATGCTGGTGAGTGGAGGGCAGAGCACCGACCCTGCTCTCTAAGGCCAGGAGACCCAATCCAGCCCATCACCTGTTTTTGTAAATAAAGTTTTATTGACACACAGACATGCCCTCTCTAGCCTTGTCTGTGGTGGCTTTCATGCAGTAGCTGTCGCAGAAAGGGTATGGTTCTGGAAGCTGCAAATATTTGCCATCTTCACAGAAGTTTCCTGTCCTCCTGCCCTTGGGCCTCAGCTCCTCTAGGGAAAGTGAAGGTAGGGAGGCAGGAGGGGGAAGGAACCCACTTCTTCCCTGCCCTAAGGTGGATGGTACCCACAACACTCTGTTCACGTTCCATGGGCCCCATGCGTCCACAGGGCTGCTGGGAAACGTAGGGCCCGCTGGGAAGCACCTTCTCCGGGACAGTCCTGCCTCGAGGATGGGGAAACACGAGTTTTGGAGTTAACCTTCTTCATCACACTTGTGGTCCCTCCTCCGAGACTCAGCAAACCATCTGTCAGTTCTGAGCCCTCAGAAGAGCCGCACCCCCTCCGAGCGATCTGTATGGGTTTCAAGCAACTCAGGCCCACCTCTGGCTTTAAAAACGAGGACTCAGAGCAGTGAAGGAGGTCGCAAGGCCCTTCAGGAGTGCAGGGACGAGCGTGTGGCAGGAGGGGACAAGCAGGCAGGCCCTGGGGAATCCTGCTGTTCATCCTGGGGTAAACTGACGCCAAGCTGAGCTTTCAACTATACACTCTGAAAAACCCTGGCTGTCAAAATGTTTTGTCTCCTAATTCAGCAATTCTGGGCTCCGCTTAGGGAGCATGGGGAGTTTTTGTTTCACGGATATAGAATTTGGGCTTGGGATGATGGAAAGTTCTGGAGATGGATAGTGGGCATGTTTACACAATAGTGTGAATGGACCTAATGCCACTGAATAAACTGTATACTTAAAAACGGTTAAAATGATAAATTTTGTTATGTGTATTTGACCACCATTAAGAATAAACACAAAAGGAACAAAACAAAAACTACTGAAAGACAGACCTTTTCCAATGCTTCTGTTATTTGCCATAAACAGTTCCTCCTATCAAGGACTTTCTGGCATATTAAAGAGCTGCTCCAAAGGAAAAAAAAAAGGAGCTAGGGTCATTTCATGGACCTTTTTTTTTTTTTTTAAGATTTTATTTATTTATTTGAGAGAGAGAATGAGAGACAGAGAGCACAAGAGGGAGAAGGGTCAGAGGGAGAAGCAGACCCCCCACTGAGCAGGGAGCCCGACGTGGGACTCGATCCCGGGACTCCAGGATCATGACCTGAGCTGAAGGCAGTTGCTTAACCGACTGAGCCACCCAGGCACCCTTCATGGACCTTTTTATACTGTCAATATTCCATTCATTTTTTTCCCCATAAATTCTGGAAATTTTTAAGTGGCATATGGGAGTCCCTGGAATGAGAGATCTTCAGAATTTGGGGGGGATCTGGATCCTGAACCATTTCAGCTTGAGTGCCAGGGCCCTTACAGAATGTGGAGGCAAAACTGGGGGATCACAGGACCAGGGTCCTGGCAGAATAGGGAGGGATGGGGCATGGCGGTGGGTTGAATAGTTTTCCCTCAGATTTCCCTCAAATTCCCCACATTCAAGTCCACTTGGAACCTGTGAATGTGACCTTATTTGGAAATAAGGTCTTTGCAGATGTCACTAGATGGATCTCGATTTAAACTCACATCCTTATAAGAAGAGGGAAAGACACAAAGAGACACAGCGGGGAGAAGGCACATGAAGATGGGGGCAGATCTGGGAGTGATGCAGCCACAAGCCAAGGAACGCCTGGGGCCACCAGGAGCTGGAAGAGCAGGAAGGATCCTCCCTCGCCTTCAGAGGGAGCCCATCCTGCTGACACCTTGATTTTATTTTATTTTTATTTATTTATTTATTAAGTTCAGTTAGCCACCATATAGTGCATCATTAGTTTTTGAGGTAGTGTTCAATGATTCTTTAGTCGGGTATAACACCCAGTGCTCATCACAACACGTGACACCTTGATTTTAGACCTTTGGCTCCAGAGCGGGGAGAGAATATATTCCTGCTGTCTGAAGCCACTCAGCGTGTCACGCTGGTCATTTGCCAGGGCAGCCCTAGGACACGGATAGAGGCCTGCCTGCGGGCAAAGGTGCAGATGGCCAGGATGGGGTGTGGGGCCGAGGAATGGGAAGGCATGTGGGGATCGTGTTGCAGGGTCAGGGATCCCAGCCTCACCAGGTGTGTAGTAAAGAGAATTGATGGGTTCCCCTACCTGAAACAGCCAGTGAGCCTCAGCTTCAGAGTGGCTGGATCTGGTCATTCCGAAAAAGCGATCTAAAACCTTCCTTTTCTCCATCTCTTGGCTCAGCCTGAGATGTGGTGCGCTCAGGAGCCTCTCTGTGGCCTGGCTATGGGGAGCTGCCGGTCCAGATGGGTCAGAGCAGGTGAGGAAGTGGGGCCATCTGTGTGGCCAGACCCGGGTCCCACTCATATCTTTGGAATGATACAGGGACGGGGGGCCTCCCAAAGGGAAAGTGGGGTGTTGTTACTGAGAGAGGCAGACAGGGATCTGAACGGGCAGAAACAACAGAAGCTGTAACCAGGAAGCACTCCATGTCTCCACCTCTGTGTCCCTCTGAACCTTAGCTCTTTCACCCACGAGTGACTACACTAAGTGTCGCGCTGAACATTCAGTGTCGTGGGACTTGGCAGAATGATCCAGCTGTGAAGAAGCACCATTCCAGATGTGCTGTCTGCTGCTGACTCGGAGGTCCAGGGCAGTCCACTTGGATGACCATTTCATGACTCACCTGGCCTCTCAGAGAGTAAATCCAGACGATCAGCACTGATTATCCACATGTTAAAATTTCCTAGGTGAATCTGACTGGGGAGAATATAGTAATCAGAGCGAAAAGATGTTGTACGGGAGAAAATGCGTCCTTTTACCTTTTGAAGGCTCTTACTCAGGGCCCCGGGGGAGCTTCCTGGGGTCTGTGCTGATTCCTTCTGACATGCAGCCACCCAGCGTCTGCCACGGCGGTCTTAGACCCGCCAATCCCGGGGATAAGCTGGGGATTATGTCTCGGGGATGAGGACATCGGTGTCCTGGGTCACCTGGCTGGAAATAGGTTCTAAATAGGGGGCAGGGGGGTGGGGATGGAATGAAGCAAACGGGATGCATAAATGGAGGTGCAGGGGTACTTTATTTTCTACTTAGGGGCATCTCAGCACATCTCAGCGGCCAGACAGCCTGCCTCGAGCATTCCCCTGTGGTGGGGCAGGTGCCCGTGGTAGCCAGTCACCCCTGTGTTGAGAGGCAGAGACAAGTGGAAGGTGCGAGAAGGCAGAGGAAGTGGGGGGAGGAGAGAAGATGTACATCATACAAGCGAATCCTCGGAGATGTTCACCGGACCCCAGACATGGTCCTAAGTGCTTCATCAGCATGGTCCAGACAAGCCCATGCTCAGGAGCTATGATTTCCCCCTTCGTAAGGATGCAGAGACGGAGGCACTTCATGGCCTGACAGTCATGAACGTTCACTGAAACACAACATGTTCAGGAACCCGGAGTTGAAAAACCGCGCATGGAGTTTGGATGTTCCCGCCACAGTATTTGCTAAAGGTGTTCTATGATTATGAAATCCACCGGCCCCCAGGGCTAAGGGGCTGAGTGTCCCTCCGGGATGCTCACAGCCTGAGGAGGGGAAGCACAGATCCACAGGATTGCAGCGGGGCGGGATGATGCCGGTCCTGGGTGCAGCCCCTGAAACACGGCGGGGAAACAAAGGGCCTGGAATTTCCCAGCGGGCGCCGGCACCTTTGGAGAGTTCCCAGTGTAGGACATTAGGGCCAGTGCGAGGAAGTAATGGATATGGAGTTAAATCGTGGGGAGGGTGTGTGTGTGTGTGTGTGTGTGTGTGTGTGTGTGTGTGTGTGTGTCTATGAATGCCAACACAAGGGGAGTGACCCTGTCCCCTGCCGTGGCAGACAATGAAAGGTTTCAAGATGGGAACGCGTTAGTCAGGACATTTTCAGTGAAAAAGGACAGAAACCAAATCCAAACTGGGGTAGGCAGAAAAAGGAATGTGTTAGAAGGACTCTGGGGACAGGACTCCAATGACCTCAGGACTAGAAGGGGGCTTTGGGGTGGGGCCAGGACTCCCTTTTACTTCCGACTCTGATGGAGGCTTTTCCATGATTGGCAGAATCCACCCCTTGGCGGATGGGTGTTGTTCATGTGGGGGGGAACCCACAAGGCAGGTGCCATGGGACAGATGCCTCTGTGTGGAGGCTGCCATGAGGGAGTACTTTGGGGTGGCAGTCCTGACCGACATCATGCGCGTTTAGGGGGCCCTGAACAGAGGGAACAGAGACCGATTTCCCAGCTTCAGTATGAAAAGCTCCAGGGCGGGGCACCTGGGTGGCTCAGTCAGTTAAGCATCTGCCTTCGGCTCAGGTCATGATCCTGGAGTCCTGGGATCGAGCCCCGCATCGGGCTCCCTGCTCAGCAGAGAGTCTGCTTCTCCCTCTCCCTCTGCTTCCCCCACTCTCTGTGTCTCATGAATAAATTAATAAAATCTTAAAAAAAAAAAAAGGAAAAGCCCCAGGGAAGGACTCTGATTGGTCTAGTTTCAGTCACATGACCAACGCCGGGCCAATCACGGTGGCCAGGAGAACAGAGCACGCAGGCAGGCCCGAGTCACATGACTACCACCTGACCGCGCCTGACGTAGGTGGAGGGAAGGAGGTGAGCGTGCGGTGCCTGGCGGCCCCCTGCCGGGAGGAGACGTGTTCTCAAGGAAAGGGATGAAATGCTGGTGGGAGAACAGCCGGTGTGCGCGGCCCGGAGGCTGGACCCGGCCTGGTCTTAGCGCTTCCGGGGCAGGTGGCCGGGCGGGGGAAGGGCTGGGTCTGCCGCCCCCCGACGTAGGCCGTCAAGGGCGGTGTCTCTCAACTTTGGGAAGCGCAAGCGCACCTGCCCCACGCCCGAGAATGGCAACGCAAGCCACGTTCGAGAATGGCAGCTGAAGCTCAGAGCAGATTGTCGGGGAGAGAAAGAAGCCAGATGAGCAGGGCTTTGCCTCCAAACCGCATGCCCCTACCCCAGCGAGCCGGAGCCCGCGGTCTCCTGCTGGGAGAGGAAAGGTCAGAACCGGAACGGAGCGGGCAGCTGCCCTGGTGAGAGGGGAGCGGTCCCAGTGGTGTGTAGACCAGGGCTTCTCTCCCTGCAGCCAGCCCAAGACCCCCCTGGGGAGCGGGTGCAAGTGCAGATCCTGACCCGGGAGATCTGGGGCAGGGCCTGAGATGCTGCTTTGATGGTGATGCCGTGGTCCCCACACCCCGCTTGCGTCACGAGGACTTCGAGTATGGATGGACTCGCCGCAACCGATGCGTGTTGGATGAAGCTGGGAGCTGCCTGTCCCGGCAGCCACCAAGATGGCGAGATCCGGCGTTTCCCCTCAGCCAGGCGGAGCTGGAAGTGTGGGAGGCCGGCCAGGGAATGGGCTTCCCCGAGCGGGCGCCGGTCCAAGTGCTCGGGGCCACCCACCTGCCCCCTGGACACATGGAGCGGTTGTGAAGAGCAGAAGGGAAGGGGGGGTCTGCTCTCACCCTTGGGTAGAGCCCGAGGACCTCAGCGCGGTGCCCCTCAGGGCACCTGTGGGGGGTGAGAGAGGGAGGGACCCATCAGCTCTTCCTGGCAGCAAGGATGGTGCCCCACTCCCATTCTCGCTATTGTAGGATGAGCAACGATGCTCGAAGATACCAGACTTTAATCTCCGGAACCTGTACGTGTCACTTTATGTGGTAAAGTCCTTGCACATACGACCAAATTAGGGAGCTGGCGGGGGGAATTATCCTGACTAATCAGGAGGCCCTGGCCCTCATTAGGAGGGACGCCAAATGCAATCACATGGATCCTTATAAGAGGGAGGCAGAAGGAGGTTGACGCAGAAGAGGAGGGCGCCATGTGACCAGGGAGGCAGCGAACAGAGTGATGCAGCCACAAGCCAAGGAATGCAGGCCGCACCCCTCCTCCGCCACCCCCCCAGCCCCCCACTGAAGCTGGAGGAGGCAGGGTAGGGGTTCTGCCCGAGAGCCTCTGCAGGGAGTGAAGCCTCCGA